ATGACCGCCTCTACAGGAAGGCCTACCACGACTCCAAGACCCAGATCCACATCCCCGTGGATGCCCTGTCGGTGCAGGCGGCCAAGGAGTGCCAGGCACTGGTCAGTGACATCGACTACAAGCAGTACCTGCACCAGTGGACGTGTCTTCCCGACCAGAACGACGTGATCCACGCGCGGCAGGCCTACGACCTGCAGAGTGACGTGAGTGTCTCGAGAGACGTGGTGGTCGCTGCTCTTGCTATTTAATATATTGTAGTCTTGATGGTTTGATATTATACAGTTACAACAGATTTATCTTTGGACTGTTTTCCTCAATTTTTTTTATAATCTGCTCTTTTTCACCTTTAAGAAGCACTCATTTTCCCTCTAAATTTTATAAAACTTTAGTTGGTATCTGCTGGGTTACGTGTGCTTTTGGAGTGGTATGATTTGGAGGGGATGAAGGATTTGTCTCTCTTGCTTTGATGGGACTTAGGAGTGAAAGCTGTTTGCTGCCTTGGAATCAACTGCCTTTTGTTACTCCTGTTTATTTGAGTCAGCTGGAAATATATTTAACTGGAAGCAAACAGTGTAAGGTACAGTGAAATGTTTCAGTGGCTGATTGAGCAGGAGGAATCAGTGCAACTGATTTCCTGAGTTGGCTTTGCTGGCTTGCCAGTCAACATCAGTCACTGTTCCACTGTTCCAATTCTGAGCTTTGAGGTGAGACTCGCATTCCTTGCTTTTGGCCACATTTCCTGGTGGGAATCTTGGTTTTTTTTTTGTTTGGACTTGTGTATTGTTGAAATGACTGGAGGACTAAGGATTTGGGAGGGGAGAGAAGGAGTCTTCTAAGATCTTAATATTCATCACCATTAGCAGCAATTCCTTTCACTTGTTTCCCCTCTATTAAACTCCACAAGCTTTTAGAAGGTGTTATTTAAGAAAGGAACTACTTAAAACCTGGTTCCCAGATTTAATTTTACTTGCTACAATGGACATCTCTTGTATGCAAAAAGGACTGATCCATCTCTAGCTGGATATGAAACATACACTGCTTTCTATAATTCAAAATAACGATGGCAATGATTTTAAACCCGCCGTTTTTCCTCTCCCTGTGTCATTCAGGCTGTGTACAAGTCAGACCTGGAGTGGCTCCGTGGCATTGGTTGGTTGCCCAATGAGTCTCCAGAGATCAAGAGGGTGAAGAATGCCCAGGACCTCCTGAGTGACAACGTGTACCGGACACCCATCGACAGGCTGAAGTTCACCAGTGTGGTGGATTCCCCGGACGTTGTCCTTGCTAAAACAAACGCTGAGCAGCTCAGCATTGTACGTAACGACCTCCTGAAGTGCTGAAAGGGGGAAATCTCACTGCTAAAATACAGCATCAAGCAGTGGCGTTTTCAGCTCGATGCTTTTCCAAGCTTTTTATTGTTTGAAAATGATAATTCAGCAGAGATTTATGGCATTTGATGCGATTGTCAAGTGAAATTCCGTCATTATAATATAAAATAAACTGTTTTAACAGCCAAAATACAAAGAAGCCTGGGAAAAGGACAAGACCATGATCCATATTATGCCAGACACACCTGAAATCAACCTAGCCAAGGCTAATGCTGTTAATTATAGCCAGGTATGTTAATCATTATTTTCTGCATTTTCTACTTTCTACATTATTTGTTACTTTCTACTATTCTCTATAATTCTCTGACATAGTATGTGTGTCCACTGAATTATATCATTCTAAGATGTTGTTTCCAAAGCTGAAGATTAAGTCACACAAATCTCAGTGAAGTCTGTCCCCATACAGGGCTTGTAACATTCCCTTCCCTGTGCTGAGTGTCCCTAAAGTATTTAGACATTTTAAAACAAATGCTTGCAGAAAGCTGTTTAAAAATTATCATTGTCGTGCACCATTCAGGTAATATTTTACTGAAATAAATGAGAGCCCAAGGCATATAAATATTTCCTAAACTTATACAAACACCCTTCCGTGCTTTATGGGTTGCAAAACTGGTGTTGCAGGCCCTGTGGATGTTTTAAAGGCAGCACAGTTTATGGCTGGGAGGCAGGAGCCATGCCCAACTAAATCTGTGGTATTTGAGCACACAGATGGCAGGAATTCTGTGTTTCTTCCATGGCAAATGGCAGAGCATTCAGCACATGTGTGGCATTTTTTCTGTCCTTTCAGAAAAAGTACAAAGGAGCTTGGGATGAGGTGAAGGCGAGCTACGATTTGAGAGCGGACGCGATCCCCATCAAGACAGCCAAGGCCTCCAGAGAGATTGCCAGTGATGTAAGTGCCAAGAGACAGCTGGACCTTCCCATGCCCTGAGAACTCCTCCTGGTAACTGTTCTAACGGTGGGCTGTGCTCTGTCCCCAGTACAAATACAAACTGGAGCACGAGAAGCAGAAGGGCCACTACGTCGGAGTTCCCGACGCCAAAGGGGACTCGAAAATCCAGTTTGCCCTCGACGTAGCCAAAGTTCAGAGCGAGCGGGAGTACAAGAAGAACTTTGCCAAGCTGAGGACCCAGTGCCACCTCCCAGTGGACATGATGTCCATCGTGGCAGCCAAGCACGGGCAGACTCTGGTCAACGACGCCGAGTACCGGACGTACCTGCACCAGTGGATCTGCCTCCCGGACCAGAACGACGTCATCCATGCCAGGCAGGCCTACGACCTCCAGAGCGATGTAAGACAGCATGAGAACAGCCCTTAAGGCAGTCATGAGTTGTCTCTTCTTTTTCTGCTTCAGCTGTAAATAGTGGGAATCTGCTGAACTCAGAGAATTCGTTTTGCTCTTTGTTAGGAGTACAAAATATATACCACTTATGTTTTGCCAGGTTCAAAGACCGCTAAATTCAGATGTAGTGCTCATGTTGGAGTTATTGCTCTCCTCTGAGCCACTGGAAGTAAGAGCCAGTATTTATGGATCTTGCTGGAGCTGTAACTAACAGCAGGGACCCTGTTTTGTTTTCCCAGGCTGTTTACAAAGCTGATTTGGAATGGCTGCGGGGCATTGGATGGCTGCCCAATGATTCCCTTGGAGTCAAGCATGTCAAATATGCTGGAGATCTCTTGAGTGAGGTAACAAAGTGGTTTTCAATACTAAAATTTGCTCCAGGGTGTTAGTCATCCAAAGTATTGTAAATGGGTAAATACATCAGTTTGTTTTTAATGAAAAAGACAGCTGTAATATTTGCACAACGTTCGTTGTGCGTGGAGAGCCTTCCTTCCATGGAAACCTCCTTGCCTTGAGTCTGCATTCAGAATTGCTGTGTTATCCAGGCTGTATTCCAGGGGGATCTGACTGTCCCCTCCTTTCTTTCCTCTTGTGCAGAGAAAGTACCGCACAAAGGCTGAAACCCTTCCCTTCACCCCGGTGGCCGACAGGGTTGATTACGTCACAGCGAAGAACAGTGGGGAGATTCTCAGTGATGTGAGTTTGCTCCCAGGTGTCTGGGCCACATTTGACTTTTAGGACTCTGTGTTTAATGTACTTTGTCCAATAACCCTACAAACTCTCGTTTCATGCACAATTGATGTGTTTTCCCAAGTCTGTGATGGTGCCACAAGGCAGTCTCTTCTTTCCCTGTTCTAGATTAAATACCACAAAGCCTGGAATGAGGCCAAGTCCAATTACACCCTGACAGACACACCACAGCTGGATATGGCCCGGGAGGCCGCCAGGATTCTAAACCAGGTACGTGATCCCTCCTTGGCAGTTGCCACTCACATTAATAACTCTTCTAAGGTATTTAGAAAACCTGCTTTATTAAGAACAACCCAAAGGAAGGATTTCTTATTGTTATATTTTAATGTAGGTCACATGTATAGAATGGTTTGGGTTGGAAGGGACCTTAAAGTTCATTCATTCCACCCCCTGCCATGGGCAGGGCCACCTTCCACTAGACCAGGTTGTTCCAAGCCCTGTTCAACCTGGCCTAGAAATATATATATATATATATATATATATTTATATACACACACTGTGATAGTTATCATTATAGTAGTGTTGAATTCCTCCTCACTTTTATTTCCCACAGAGTTTATATAAGGAGAGTTGGGAGAAAGAAAAAGCCACTGGGTACCTGTTGCCCCCTGACACGGTGCAGATCTCTCATGCCAAGCACTCCAGCGATGTCCAGAGTGAGGTAAGGATTTTTCTCCTTGGGAAAACAAGTGCTTAGAAACCTGAAATGTTACAAACCTTGAAAATACAACAACAGACTTAGAAAGCTTTCAGTGTGGGCTAACACCCAGACTTTTCAGGAGTCACTGTCCTCCAAACAGTTCAGCCATCTCGGTGATAATGGGTTTTGGAGATGTCAGTGTTGGAAAGTCAGACTCACCCTTCCACATTCACTCTCTCCAGAAATATCCTTTCAAAACCAACCGAGGTGGACTTTCATATTTTATAAATGTTAAATAATTGAAGTGATATTGTGATTCTAATATATGGCTCTGATTTCACTTTTTTGGCACATTATGGAGGCTTCTTCCTTGAAAACCTCTAAGCAGGTACACACTTTACATTTTCAACTTGTGCATAATGGATATTAAAATTATTACATGATTCTTTTTTTGAATATACATTTTATCAAAACGGTGTGATGTAAGTACTTTAAATAAACATCCACTCTTCAGTTATTTCTTATTGAAATAATTTATTACAAAAATGAGATTAAATGCACTTATTAGCAAACATTTCCTCTTGCGTTGACAATACTGATTCCTGAAAATTGATAGCATTTCAGTCTAGAAAATGCTGCGTTTTGAAGTGGGAGGCCTATAAAAAATAATATTCCTGTTTACCTCATGTATCTATCTGGTCATGTACTGAAAACCAAAGGCTGGACAGCTCTGTCTCATCTGCTCTTTGTGCAGCTGTTCCCAGGTTAGAACCAGCCTGGGCACGGTCAGTGCTGATTTATCCCCGTTTCTGCCCTCTCCCATCAGCTGAAATACAAAGCTGAGTACGTGAAGCAGAGAGGTCACTACGTGGGCGTTGCCAAGATGAGGGATGACCCCAAGCTGGTGTGGTGCGAGCACGCGGGCGAGATCCAGAACGACCGCCTGTACAAAGCCAACTACAACAAAACCAAGTCCAAAATCCACATCCCTGTGGATGCCATGGCGGTTGTGGCGGCAAAGGAAGGGCAGCACTTGGTCAGTGACGTTGACTATCGCCAGCACCTGCACCAGTGGACGTGTCTTCCCGACCAGAACGACGTCATCCACGCGCGGCAGGCCTACGACCTGCAGAGCGATGTGAGTGGTGCTGCAGATGCGCTGGGCCCTGCCCACCCAGCACAGTGCCTGATTCATCCTGAATTAAATGTTTTCCTTCCTTTTCCATTGCCTTTGTGACTCAGAACATCTACAAATCCGACTTGGAATGGCTTCGTGGCATCGGTTGGATCCCTCTGGACTCGGTGGAGCACAAGAAGGTTAAGAATGCCCAAGAACTGGTAAATAAGGTGAGAGAGAACATTTCAACAGTGGCACAGAGAGCGTTGCTTTCTCAGGCCCAGTGTTGGAGGTATTATTTCATCTCTTTTGCAGAGATCATACACCAAAGAAGCCCTGGATAACTTTTCCAAATACACCAGTGTGGTTGACACTCCTGACATCGTGTTGGCAAAGATGAACTCTGTCAACCAGAGTGATGTATGGACTGTTTCTTGTCATAGAAACTTGTGTGCAAGAATTAATAGATGATTTAGTTGCTTTCGCTCAGCTGTGCTATGTTTAACCCTCTGTGTGTGTGTTGGAAAATGCTGCTTCGGTAATAACGGGCTCCCCTGGGGTAAATAAATTTAGTAAGAAGAGATATAAATGAACAACAAAACATTTTATCCAAAGTAATTTAACATTTTTCTGTAGAAGGATATAGCATGTGTCTGATTGAGACTTTACATAGCTTTTGCTTGTGGTAGTTGAAAATTGAGTCTCGTTCTCACGATACCCATTAGAGAAAATTAATGTCTACTTCCAACAGTTGGACTGGTTGGAATGATGTATTTCTCCTGTGGATTTGACACTGTGTTTGTTTTCCTTTTGTAGCTAAAATACAAAGAAACCTTTAACCTTGAGAAAGGCCAGTACATCGGGTCTGACGACACTCCTGCACTGCACCACGCCAAGGACATGTCCTTACTGCACAGCGAGGTAGGAGCCCAAAAATCCCCACCTCATCCCTGATTCCTTGGTTTGGAAAGCAGCAGAATGGGAAATGGACTTCAGGAAAGTGTTCTGCTCCTGTTTCTGTCAGAGGTCTGTCCGGGTGGCACAGGGGAAGTTATTTAATTTCTGGGTTTGGATCGCTGGAATCAGGATAATTCCTTTCCTTTTTGGACTGGTCTTACAGCACAGCTGGGTGGTGTTTGGAAGTGGGAATAGTAGTAGTAGAGTTTTTGTGACAAAACCAATTTATAATTCCATCCAATAATCTCTTCCTGGGCTACTGATGAAATTCACAGTTGGTTTTTTTTGTGAGAAAGGAAAATTGTAGATGACTGGACATTATAAAACTGTTACTTTTAAGTACTTTCACTAATTTTAATGGGAAACCTCTGTTTTTTGAAAATATAAGTGACCACTCATTCATAAAAGTAGACACTTCCTAATTCAGTCTGAAGGTAAATATATTTAATATTAAACATAACAAGATGTATTAGAAAAGTACCACTGGCACAGTTAATGTTTCTGTGATACACACCAATATTACTTGCAGATTTTTCCCAATTTCACTCACATATCTATAAATTTATCAGTCTCAATTCTATACTGCACTTTTAAACAAGAGTTCATGTCTACATTTTGGATATTTTTGTTACTCTTCTGGATATGAATATAATAAAGCAAGCAGAAATCAGGGAACAAGGGTTCAAAATTAACATTAATTTACTTTCTTGGGTACCACTCCGTAAAAATAATGACATGACATGTGTGTTTCTTGGAAGATATAACTGATTTTTTTTTTTTACCAAACCCTGTGTGTGCTTTGTCTAGAAACATTACAAGAAGGCTTGGGAGCAGAGCAAGCCCATTGGATACACTTTGGATGAGAAGTACGTGCCTCTCGTCGGAGCCAAACACGCAAACCACATCAACAGCGAGGTCAGGAATTCTCCATCCTTCCCCTTTTCCCCCATATTTCTGTCAGAGCGAACACTAAAACCTCCTCGTGACTATTTTGCAGCGTAAATACAAGGAAATCTATGAGAAACTGAAAGGCCATTACCTGGCAGGGAAGGAAATTGGGGATTTCCCCGGTGTCGTTCACTCGCTGGAATTCCAGAAAATGAGGAGCGCGGTAAGGAGAGAGTTACCTGAGCAGATCATCTGCCACTGTCTTCATCTCACTGTTTGTTTCACCAAAGAAATCCACTCTTTCACTGTTCAAACATAAACACTGCAATGCTTAATGGGGTTCTAAAATCACAGAGTCATTAAGGTTGGAAAAGACGTCCGAGGTCAAGTTGGACTCATCAATCCACAAGAACATCACTCAAAGTGATTCCAACACGTCTGTGTTTCCTGACTGGTTATTTTATGGGTGGGTTAATTAATCGAAGTTGAAGTGATTTAGGAGATTAAAGAGGGATTTGTTTAGTTATTAGACAATAATAGAATAGGAAAGGCACAATGGAATAGGAAATGAAAGACGTAGAAAGACGTGGAATAGGAAAAAAAGAAAGACAGGGAATAGGAAGAAAAGAAAGACTTGGAATAGGAAGAAAATAAAGACATGGAATAGGAAAAAAAGAAAAAGAAAAGAAAGACATAGAATAGTGATTTCTATTTCAGTTTATGCATATGAGGAGTAAGAAATTGGGATTCTCTTGCTTTACAAATAAAAGTGTAGATTTTGAGTTGAAATAGGAGTTTAAGAACTGGAAAAGTGAGTGCACACGTGGTGTTTTGTTGTTATCAGCACTGCACTTACAGCAAGTCATGCAGTGCCTAAAATCACTGTAATCCCAAATATTCTGTCTTTAATTTGATGAAGACCATGTTTGTAGCATAGGACTTTTTAGATCTTGAGATCTTATTAATTTTCTCGCCAGCTGTTAAAACTGCAAGTGAAGAAGGTCATTCTTGTCCTTCCAGAACCTCATCAGAATAAATGGTGATTAATATCAAAGTTAAGATTTCATGCTGTTGAATCCCATGGGAGTTTAGCTATAAAATCCAGAAATCAGGTCTTGACCTGTTAGTCAAAGTTATGCAGCAAATCATTCTTCTTTCCTCTCCCCCTTTCCCCAATCCTTGTTTTTTTTCAGTTGGCCTACAGAAAGAATTATGAAGACACCAAGAAAAACGTCCACATTCCAAGTGACATGATGAACCACGTGCTGGCCAAGAAGTGCCAGCACATCCTCAGTGACCTGGAGTACCGGCATTACTTCCACCAGTGGAATTGTTCCCCTGAAGAAAACGATGTGATTCATGCCAGAAAAGCCCAGGAAATTCTGAGTGATGTACGTTTATCATTCATGGAAAATCACAGAATATCCAGAGCTGGGAGGGACCCACAAGGATCACCCAGTCCAAGTCCTGGCCTCTCACAGACCACCCCAAAAATCCTCCCCCTGTCCCTGAGAGCGTTGTGCAAACGCTTCTTGAACTTATTTGACATTATAGTGGTACTTGTAATGTAATTGTTTCCAAGGTGTTTAAATATAAAGTACTTTCAAATATCTTTCATACTATTTAAATATTAAATTACTAACTGTGCCTTTAGATTCTCAGTAGCACAGTACCAATCACTGCAGTGATCCTTGTGAATTATAATTGGGAATGCAGGAATAATAGCAGGAATAACAGCAGTTTTCTCCTTAGTTTTCTTCAGGCAGAAGGCAGATTTCTTCCCTAACTTCATGTTCTTTTTCCATCCATGCAGGCAGTGTATAAAGATGACTTGAACTGGCTGAAGGGACTTGGGTGTTATGTGTGGGATACTCCACAAATCATCCAGGCCAAGAAATCCTATGACCTCCAGAGTCAGGTGAGTTTGTTTGCCTTGAATAGGTAAATATTTATAAGACTTGTTTTTTTTTTAATGATTCACTGGGATTGACACCTAGTTCTAGTCCAGAGCAAAAATAAATAATTTCTGTTACTTCCAAAATATTTTGTTAAATCTGTAGTAATACAGGTTTTGAGTTTTGGCTGTAGAGACATCCCTTGTGATGTTGAAGGAGCAGAAAATTCAGGAGAATGGAGGGTGTGGTTTTTATCAGTGAGAAGATACAACTTCTTTATTTCTGTATGGACAAGATACCTCAGGGAGATATTTTTGTTGGTAAAATAGTGTCTCCTGCCTTCCTAGTTCTGCTCTTAAACCCATCAGTGATGTATAGTTTTCATTATTCCTTAGTTCAGACTGGCTTTATATTAAGTATTTCTTTTTTGTGACCTTTCACTTTCAGAATTGGTCTTAACTGAGCTGTAATCCCAGGCTCCAGAACTGATTTGTAAGGAAGCTGGCAGGGAATCCTCAGGTTATTTTCAGCATTAATGATTTTGTTTGTTTGTTTTCCCCTTAGATAAAATACACATCTGCAGGAAAGGAGAACTTCCAGAACTTCAGTGTGGTCACAGACACCCCTGTGTATGTGACTGCTCTGCAGAGTGCTGTCAATGCCAGTGAGGTGAGAACTTCTCCCACTCAGCCTTTTCCCCTTCTTGCTGCCAAGAACTGAAATAATGAACTGAATCTGCCTTTCATCTGCAGGTGAAATACAAGGAGGAGTTCCATAAAACCAAGGACAAGTACACAACGGTGACTGAAACAGTGGATTCTGAAAGGGTTCAGAATCTGAAGCATCTTTATAGCAATGTGAGTGTTTCTGAAGGTCCTTTTGCCTCTTAAGGTGCTATTTGCATTTTGTTTGTTTGTTTGAAGATAAATATCCAAACAAGGAGCTTCCCAAAGCCAGTGGTAAATAACCCTCTGCACCGCCTGACTGGAGAGAAGATCTTTTATTTCAGGCAGAGGCTTTATTTTTTAACTGCAATTCTAGCCTTGTCAAAATATATGCACTAGTAAATGCATTCCCTGAATAAAATTGCACCTGAACAAAATCAAAACCTCGTAGGAGAACAAATATGAGTAGTTAGAAAGCATTTTATCACCCTTTATGTGCCCTGTCAAGATTAAACTTGATATTAAAGGAGAGTTACAGGGTCTGAATAAAACCAAAAGGGCTTCTGATTTCTACTGAAGTTTCTGCTGATTTCTCTGGGTTCTTGGTTATTACTCAGGAAAAGAATTTTGCCACTCACACAGACTTTCTGCTTCCCTCTAGAATCTCTACAGGAAAGCCTGGGATAAAGTGAAGGCCACTGGATATGCCATACCCTCGGATTCCGTAGCCCTGGCACGTGCCAAGGAGCTGAAGCACAATGCCAGCACTGTAAGTGAATTTAGTGCTTTATATTTTATCAGATCACCAGTTATAACAATGAAATCCTTCCTGCCTTGCTTATACTGTAGGTAAAAAAAAAAACTTTTTAAAGACTTTATTTATTTTCTCTCTTTAATCGAGATCTAATATGTGTCTGTAGATAAGTAATTTTCTGTGATGATCATTTGGATGACTGGTCTTTGTGGCTTTTTGTCATGAAAAAAAAAAAAAGAAAGTCACATTTTATAGTAATCAAAACTATCTCTTAGAAATGTCTGGTTGGAGTTTTTTTTTAGTCTGAATTTCATGAGCATCCAGGTCAGAAAAATGCCAAAAAAACCTTTAAATAATGCATTACTAAGTACAGAAGAACATCTTATGCTTTACTGAACTGAGGATTATTACATCACTCCATGGATCTCTTTAAATGAAAAAGCTGGAACGATAATAAATAAATGCTTATTCTACATCAATTTACTTGTAAAACCTTCTGGTCAGCTGTTATTTTTACACCATGATGGTTGTGCTGTGCTCCCTTTGCCATTTAGGATAGAACAGAAAGCCAAGATTGTGCTTTAGAGCCTTTCTCTGCTTGTTGGACTCAACCAAATATTTTGTTACCGATGCCTTTTGTTCCTAAATTACAGTTGGCTCGTTGGAGTCGGTTATTTGTTGCATTTCTTTGCTCCTGCTCAGGTGAAATACCGTGAGGAGTATGACAAGTTCAAAGCCCTGTACACGATCCCCAGGGGGGTGGAGGATGATCCCAACACGGAACGGTGCCTCAGAGTTGGGAAGCTCAACATTGATGTAAGTGTTGGCTCTGGGGGTGTGTTCTCCTGCTGAAACCATGCTTACCTCAGAAGAGGCCACTCAAAGAACCCACACTGACCCAGGTGTCCCATTTCCATGTGCATGTGGCAGTGGAATTGCCAAGTTCTGGAATACACCTACAAATTAAACCTTTTGACTCCAGTGTTACTTTTCTTGCTCAGCCAGACTTTGGTGTGACGGTGAAACCACACATCCTGCCTCCTTTTAACTCTCCAGCACAATGGAAATTGACCAAATCTTATTTTATCACCCTTGATAAAGTTCTGCAAATTGTTTTTCGAGCAGGCAGGGTGTAAATTTTAACCTCAGCCCAAGTGATATTGATGATTTTCTTCAACTTCACCACCGGTTTACCCTCAGAACGGTAAATGTTCTCCTCTAACCCCGCAGAGATTGTACAAAGAGGCCTACGAGAAGACCAAAGCCAAGGTGCACATCGTGCCAGACATGGTGGACATCGTGGCTGCCAAGGACGCCCAGAAGAAGATCAGCGAGGTGGATTATCGCACCCGCCTGCACGAGTGGCTCTGCCTGCCCGACCTGCAGGTCAACGCCCACGTCCGCATGGTCACCGACCAAGTCAGCGACGTGAGTGCACACAGCTCGTCCTCCTGGCTCGCCTCGCCAGAGATTCTTGGCCTTGCTGCTCTGCTGGAGGGAAAGGATTCAGCCAAAATTGGGTTGGAGAGCTCTGAAGTGGCCACTGGGACCCCCTTTTGGCAATAAATGCGTGGTTGAGATGGGGCTGGGTTGCGTTGAATCGCAGAATCCCAGACTGGTTTGGGTTGGAAGGGACCTTAAAGCCCATCCATTCCCGGGGACACCTTCCACTGGACCGGGCTGCTCCAACCTGGCCAAGGACAATTCCAGAGATGGGGAATCCACAACCTCTCTGGGCAGCAATTCCAGTAACTTCAGAGTTGTCACTGCAGGCACTGGGTGATGGCGTTACAGTTCTACCAGCTCTGCCATCCCTAAATTGTCCTTTATTGGGTTGATTAAGGTGTGGAAACTTTGGGAGTCTGAGAAATTCCCAGTTGTGTGAAGCTCCTACGCACTGGTCAGCCCAGGAGCAGGCCTGGCATCTGTCAGTGAATCAGTGCCCAGTAGGACATGCAGGTAGTTTTTATAAAAAATATTTGGATTTTTAATTTATTGGCCAAATTAAAGCAATGAAGAAACATCATTTAAATGCCACAAGGAATTGTTTTGAGTTTTTTTCAAACAAAAAAGTCGAAGTACCAGAAACCTTAGCTGACACTCGTGTTTCAGACTAGCAGTAAGGGATTAGATCCTAGTGGAATTCTTACTGATTTTCCCTGCTCTGACACTTCAGGTGATCTACAAGGATGATCTGAACTGGCTGAAAGGCATTGGCTGCTTCGTTTGGGACACCCCAGAAATCCTCCACGCCAAGCAGGCCTATGATCTCCGCAGTGATGTGAGTGAATACACTGATTTTGCTTCTTGGGAGTTTTTTTTTTTCATTCCATTGTAGCTTTACTCTCCTCCAGATGTCATCTGGAAAATGTTATATATCCCTCTCTACTATCCAGCCATAATTTCAATATACTTTCTGTTTCAGTTGGTTCTCTAATAGAATAGATCAGTGTTAAAATACATAGCAAATATAACAATAAATTCAATTACCAGTGACTAGACTTGCCAGTCAAAGCTCTTGCATTTCTCTCTGCAGATTAAGTATAAATCTAAGGCAGAAAAGATGAAGAAGGACTTCACTGTGGTCACAGACACCCCTGTCTATGTCCAGAATATCCTCAGTGCCTTGAATTTAAGTGAGGTAAGTGTTTGTGTCACCTCCCACCCCAATATTCCATATGCCACTACCTCACAAGTGCTAGAAATGTGTCCTTTAATATGTATTTTTAATAAATTAATTTTAATAAATCACTGCTGATTATCTACAGCTCGCTGTGGACACAATCACTAAAATCCTTAATGGCCTGAAGCCAAAGAACTTCCCCCCCAGGTTTTATTTCTTCATCCAGACAGCACAGACTGTGAGGCAGCACCACAGCTCGGATTTTTCTCTCCTTCCCAGGCTGTGTATCGTGGGGATTACGTGAAGAATGTTAAAGGCAAAATGATTTCTACTGACAAAACCATCGATTTGGAGCGGGCGTACAATGCCAACAGGATACAGAGTGAGGTGAGTAGGAAGCTTTGGGGGCCCCACAGAGTTCCTCATGCTAAAAAGCACATTTTTTCTATGTTAATGTCTTATTTCAGATTAAACCACGTGCCAGAGCTCTAAAATGAAAGTGGAAAAATATCCTTCCTTACTTACAAGGATGCATTTAATGCAGACGAGAGGGGAAGTTTTGCCAGTTGTGAACCAGAAGTCTCTGGGGTTCATATTTTACCCTCACAGTTGTCACAAACTCCCTCTCCCTTCTCTTGCAGAATTTGTATCGCTGGGCTGGTGTGAATGCCCTGCCCACTGGGTACAGCCTTCCCACGGACACTCCCAACTTCCAGCACGCAAAACACGCCCAGTACATCGGCAGTGACGTAAGTGCTGGATCCAATCCTTCCACACCATGGGGGTGATCAACAGTCCCACAAAAGAGACTCTCAACTTGGGCAATTGCTATCAAAATTGTTAATTGTATATATAATTTATATATATATAAATATAAATGTAATATCTTATTAATCTTGGGCCATCTGATAAGGGTATTTAACTCTGATATAGCTCCATCTCACTTATTTCTCCCTAAAAATCTGGCTCTTCAGGCAGCACAAATTGCTGTCAGAAGTGCAGTGTAGGTAGAACCCTGATCAAATTGAGATTCTCTCTGTTTTCCCCACTTTCTAGCTGAAGTACAAAGAAGCCTATGAACACATGAAGGCCAAAGGTTACACTCTGGGGCCTAAAGATGTTGGCTTTGAAACCGCGAGGAAAGTCAATGAAGTCGTTAACGAGGTACGGTAAATAGATGTATTTGCTTTCAGCTGTATTTGTGAGTGGTGGCAGGACATTAAGTTGTTCTTTAAGGCTTTTAAGAGCAGTTTAGATAAATATCCATCAGGAGTGGCAAGGAATCATCAATACAGGGGAATTGCAGCCTAATTTTGTTGGCCAATCTACTGCTCTGTGGTTAAAGTTGAATAGAAATTATTAATATCTGTATGACATTGGCTCTCAATAGTTTTAGGTTTTGTATGTATTTACTCACTCCTTTGATCATTGGCTTTAATAGGATGAAAATTAAACAATACATAGTCACATATATTTAGGGTTAGAACTTAAATTCTCCATGAATTATTATTTAATTTATAAAGATTAAAGGTGCTGCTGTTGAAAACAGCTGTGGAAAATCTTTGCCTGGGTAGAAAACAACATTTGTGTCAGGAGTGCTCCCACTGTGCCAAACTGCTTTGCTGTTCTGATGTTATAATGTGTGCTGAAGGGTTTTAACCTGTGTTAAAATGTTTTAAAACATGTTAACATGTCCCTTCTGTCACAGAGGCTCTACAGGGCAACGTACCACAAGAACAAGGACAAGATCCACACCACTCCCGACACCCCCGAGATCCGGCAGGTCCGAGCGACCCAGGAGGCTGTCAGTGATGTAAGTGCCTTCCCACCAGCACACACAGAGAAAGCTGAGATTGCCCAGTGCCCAAACATGTGAAATGCTGGCTTTGCTCTTTGTCTTTCAGCTCATCTACAAGTCAGATTTCTTCAAGATGCAGGGCCACCTGATCTCCCTGCCCTACACCCCCCACGTGCTGCACTGCCGCTACGTCGGGGACATCACCAGCGACGTGAGTCACCCCTGCTCAGCTTTTATAATCTTCTATACCCAACGTGGGATTTGCCTCCTCTCATTTCCATTCTGTTCTGGATTCAGTAAATGCTCTGTCGCTGCGTTTAGGGGCTGATCAGTGAAATTCTCCCCAGAGCTGACTGATGGTTTTTCTTTCTCTCACAGATTAAATACAAAGAGGACCTGACGTGGTTGAAGGGCCTGGGTTGTTTCCTCTATGACACTCCTGACATGGTCCGTGCTCGTGACCTCAAAAAGCTTTGGGTAAGAGTTTTTTCTTCTGGAACCACCTGTAACAACATCTGATTTATTTCTGTGCGTTCAGGAAGGGAAATACTCGTTGCTCACGAAAAGGAGCCAAGACCTGGGACAGAATTTCTTGCCAGGCAGCCAATTAGTTGTTTCAGAGCACTGCCAGCTTACACTAAAAATGTCCTTTACACTGTAAAATGTCTTTTCCTACCAGGAATAATAAAAGCTTCCTAAATAAAACTGCTTTTCCTTTCCAGTCTAATTACATTTACACTAGTACTGCAAAGAAGATGTGGGCCAAATTCAACGTGGTGTTGGACACTCCTGGATACAGAGCAGTGCAGGAGCTAAAAACCCACTTGAGTGAAGTAAGTTCTGTGTTATTTTTGCACCATTTCATACCTATAATTAACTTCTCCTTGTTTGTTTTATTTTGTTTTGTTTTTGTTTTCTGAAATCTTTTAATTGCAAAGCTGTTAAAAGAACAGAAGAAATAATTCCTGGGCCTGTCTTTTTTTCCAGCTGGTTTACAGAGCTGCAGGCAACGAGCTGAAGACAAAATACACCTCCATCCTGGACACACCTGACTTGATAAGAGCCAAGGAAGGACAAAAAATACAGAGCCAGGTGAAAAACTTGTATTAATGGAAAAATAATCAGGGGGTCCCTCTTAGCAAAATCTTTCCAGGCCACTTCAAATCCATGTAGAAAATTGTGTGGTTATGTCTATATTCTGAATTTACAGAGGTTTTCCAGAGTTATAAAGTAGAATTTACTTGCAGTGGATATTTTTTAAAATGATTTTCTCCCTGCTGCAGTACCTGTACGTAGAAGTTGCCACAAAAGAGAGGCCCCATCATCATGCTGATGGCCAGACTCAAGCCTTTACACATGCCAGGCAAGTCAAGGACATGATCAGCGAGGTAAGATATTGCTTTTTTTAATTGCTACCCTTATGCTGAACTCTTTAGAAGTTTTATTTCTAATTTTAGTAGTAATTTCAAGACCATTTTCCCTACATTTATTTTTTTCTCTCTTATGCTTAAGTTCCACATTTCCTTTGTAAGTTCTGGTCAAAGAAACCACTTTTAAAATGCGTTCCTGTGTTTTATAAGGTACCTGTTTCCAAGTGCTTGTTTTGCAGATTGGCAAAGCCTGAGATAAAAACTCTTCCCTTTGGCTGTGTCTCGTAGAAAAAGTACAAAACCCAGTACGAGAAGATGAAGCACAAATACACCCCTGTCCCTGACACCCCAGTCCTGCTCAGAGCCAAGAGGGCCTACCTGAATGCCAGTGATGTGAGTACTGCAGGAGCACCTCCCCTGGTGGATTTCCTTCCCGTGGATTCCTTCCCCCACACCCAGAAAATCATCAGTCAGCACCCCAGTGTGGGTCATGAACGAGATCACTCCATTTGCATGGCCATTTCCGCTTGATATTATGGGGGTTATTAAGTTTTGACTTGATGTCACTGTAATATTTTTTCAATTATTACAATTTATTTTCGTTTCCCACTGCGCTGAACAAGGGAAAAATAGAGTAATTTGCTTACACATCAAGCTTCCAAACAGTGCAGGCTGGAGTGAAGTGATTGATGCTGGAGCAGGATGGGATGCCTTTTATCAGCTTTTTTCATCTCTTTTTGAGTTAGAAGTAAACTGCCCTGTCACTGAGAATGTGTTCATTTTTTAATTCAAGAGTAGATTAGAGGGAAAAATTATCTGAGCTGCTGCACAGAAGGTTTTTAAGGTGAAACTGATATTTTTTCCTTCAAGCATGGAACAGTTATTTGGGATTTAAGGCAGTGCACAGAGCACCATTTGGGAGATCTTTCCCACATATTTCAGAACCAGCAGGATATGAACGGACAAGTACTGAGCTGGGCTTTTGTTCTAGGGGTTAATTAGTCTTACTGCTTCCTTGAAAGTGATTTGAAAATAATTTAAAGGAGCACCCCAGCTCTTCTGCACATCTCAGTTGCTCCTCTGAGAAAGCCTTTCACACAGGCTGGGCTCATCTTCCTGCTCTGTTCTCGGTCAGGACATGGAAGAAGGGACAAGCAGCTTTTTATGCCAAAAGTGGCACTCGTGTCCTGTGAAACAGGGTGAAATTCTCTTAGATTTCCACCAGAATCTCAATCAAATCACAACTGACTGTGGGCAACTGCAGCTCCCTCAAATCCCTCAGGGCTTCCACGAGGGTTTGGACAGCAACGCAGCCCTGGCTGGCACTGCTGGCAGTCAGGAACTTTACCTGAAACAGTTATTGGCAGACGAATGTGTTGTGTTCTGTGTCGTTTTTGTGCCCAGCTGCGCTACAAAGAGACCTTTGAGAACACCAAGGGCAAGTACCACACGGTGAAGGACGCCTTGGACATCGTCTACCATCGCAAGGTCACCGATGACATCAGCAGTGTATGTACAACAGTTCTGTTCCCAGTATTCCCAGCTAGTGTCTGTCACTTGATAACCTACAATAATCCTGTTGTTCCACTGAAATGTGTGAAATGATTATTAAAAATAAGATTATTTCCTTCCCTGGAATATTAGATTTGGTCGCACTTGTTGTTACGAAGGTGAATCTCGTTTCCCCTCTTGGTTCTGATGTTTCAGAAAAACAAATGAAAACTGTGTGGTCTTTTAAATTGTTTTTACTTCATTCTTCAATGTTTTCTCTGTAGATCAAATATAAGGAGAATTACATGAGCCAGCTGGGAATCTGGAGATCAATCCCAGACCGTCCAGAGCATTTCCATCATCGCCTGGTCACGGATGCCATCAGTGATGTGAGTGCAGAGGGGTCCTGCAAATGTTAAAAGTCGGTTTCTAAAGTGAAACCAAAGCCTTCTTTCTAAAGAGAGGGAAGGCAGGTGAAATTTTGGAAGGGATTTACACTCCCTCCTGGTAGATCTATGGAATGACAGAGTGATTGCAATGGCTAAAATTGCAGCTTTTCAAATTAACAGAGCAATCCTGATTCATTCCGGTTGCATTTGTCTGTTAACGACCTGCAATCGTACATATCTCTAATTATACAATGTCCCTTTAATTGTGCAAGAATAAATATTTTCAATTCACACAGCGACTCCAGCAGTCAATGACAGATTAGGTTTGTGAGTAACCTGAGTCCATCCACAAATCATGAGTAACTGATTTATTGTATCATGGAACAACGGACGTAATTATGTGCCACACCTTGAGGTGTCCTTTCAGCACTGCTAATCTCCTTAAACCTGCATCCTTTTACTTCTTTTCCGAAGGTTAAATACAAGGAAGACTTGGCATGGCTCAGGGGCACTGGCTGCTACGCATGGGATACCCCAGCTTTTGTCCTGGCAGAACAGAACAAAGTGCTCTACAGTGGGGTGAGTAAAACACTCTGAGATGCTGCTGAGTGACTTGTTGACATTTGCTGCACGTTTGCTGTACGTTTACAACCAAAACTTAAACACACCTCTTCAAGAATTCTACCAGGGTTTGTCTCTAAAATCACATTTTCATTGCCTGGCCCTTCTTTGGATTAAAATGGGGATTTCTTTTTGTGTGTGTTTGGCTCTGGTTTTCTGCAGTGCAAGTACAAGGAGTCGTTTGAGAAGACCAAGTCCCAGTTCAAGTACGTGGCTGACTCTCCAAGCAACGAGCATTTCAGATATGCAACTCAGCTGATGGATGGGGTGAGTGCTGAAGGCTCCTCTGGAGCCTCCTACTCCAGCAGTAAAATCTGTAAATCCAGAGTTAAAGTTGATCTGCCTCATATTCAGGCCTAAAGATGCCCTAAGATCAGGCTCAAATCGAGGTTGTTCTTCCTGCCTGACTATCAGGTTTACAGAACCTGGAAAGTGAAATCACCACCCCCGTCCCATTAATTTGTCTCAGTGCAAAGGAACTTCTCCTTTGCTGACTGGGAAAGAAATGATAACCTAAATAATGCTGCCTGTGGGGGTGACACTGGTGATTTCCACCTGAGAAGGGCATAGAGAGAAATCCAATTGCTTTCCTAAAGCACTGGAAAAAAAACAGTGGGAGGAAGGCAGTCTTATGTCTTGTTTCATTCCAGATGTTTTGCCTTGAATTTTTTCCACTTTGCTACTCACTTTTATCTGATCTTTCTCCTCTAGTGCCAAAGAAACAATAGACACACCTTGTAGTACAGGGGGTTAATGAAGCCCCTCGGGGTTTAAGGTTAAAATCACCTCTGGAATTTGTAGGATTAGTTCTCTCCACCCCATGTTCTGGGTGATTCCAGTCTGTTGGAATATCACACCCAGCTCTGATGCTTTTCCATTGAAGAAGCAGATGTTTCGATTCCTATTTTGGTATTTCATTATTTTTCACCAGCTGTTACAATAAATTATTTACCTGTCAGTTGATGTATTATAGTTTTACCTTTTTAGGTAAGAAAAACTGTTCACAACAAGTACAACTCCAGCTCCATTGCTATCTATAATTTTATACTCAATTTGATAAAAAATGAACCACAATTTCTTATGGATGATTGTCAGTATTCAGTTCTTTTTTCAGTAGAGCAAATAAGGGAAAATTTAATATCAGAAGCATAAATGAGTAACATTTTAGCCATGGGGCTCCATGGAGTGAACTTGCCTGAGTGTCTTCTGTTATTAAGTGATAAGTTTTTAATAAGGGATTATAGATTTTACTTACAAAATGCTAAAAAAATATTGTATTTTACCCCCACGTCTCACTGTGCTCTTTTTATCCTCAGCTCAAGAATCTGTGCTAGAGTTCTGCTGTTATTTTTTCATGAAGAAAGTCAGTGATGAAATGAGCTTGTTGGGGTGGCAGGGGTACACAGACACCCTTAAACTGTGCTTTAGGCTTTCCAGGGTCAACCTTTGGGAATACTCCTTGTTTTGAACGTGTTTTTCTCCTTTGGCCACCACCTCCCCCTAGGCTGCAGTGATCCCTGTGCAGAGGTGCCAGTGGTTAGAACAATGACCTCTCTGTGTTTTCACTCCCCTGTCACGCTCTGTGACCTCTGCTGAGCAGAAATTATATAGGGCTGCCTATGAGAAGCTCAAAGATAGGTACAGCGTTGTTGTGGATGATCCCAGGAACCTCCTGGCCAAGTGGGGCTCCAGGCTGAGCAGTCAGGTACTGTGGGAGCACTGGGGCAGCCCCAGGCCTGTGTGACACCTGCACACCAGCAGCATCACCTGGGATGCTGCCCTGCTCATTTGGTCCATCAGTCATCTTCGTTCTGCCACCCAAAAAGAACTGGCACTTTTTGTGTGAGCTGGTCTGTGCTTTATGTACCTTCATTGCTGTGCATCGGCTCACAGCACCACCTGAGCCCTCTCCAAGAGCTTTAAAAAAGGCCTTGATTTATCAGGCATTTCTCTTTCATGGCCTTTACCAAGATAATCTTCTCCTCCCTGGATGAGCAGCAATGCCATCTTTGCCTTTTGAGTGCTCTCACCTTCAGCTTCAATTTCCCCTCCTCTGCCCCTCAAAAATTCACAATTTCCTTCCCTATAAAAATATGAATATATTTCCTTCCCTCTGCAGATAGGGAAGGAAATATTTTCATATACTTAATCCAAATACATTCCTTTATTTATCTATAAATATTTATCTATAATATTTATGTTTGCGGTCTCTGCCCCCCGACACTGCAAACCCTGCAGATGTGAGTTGGATGCACATGCCAATGAATACATACAGTACCTTTGCCTACATCTCTCCACTCTCCAAGTGTCTGGGATCTAGAGCTGTGTCCTTGTTCCTGGTGTTCATGAGTCTCTCTTGTCCTTGGTTGCCGTTTTGCATGAACAGAAAAGCTATAAATCCTTTGCCAAGATGCTCCTGCAACACGGATGTAATGAAATTCTGAGGCCAGATATGCTGACAGCTCTCTACAACACTTACTTGTGGAGCCAGGTAATGTGAAGAGCTGCTCTAGGACACATTTAGATACCATTTCGCTGCTTGGACTTCTAATATTCCCTGCTTTCCTACAGATTTCAGCCCCCAAGGATTTGCTGGTGTGCTTTATGCTGGCAGTGATCAAAGAGTTTTGAGACCACAATATCAGATTTGCTGGCACTGGGGCACTCAGCTCAGGCTGATCTTGTCTCCATTTTCTCCCTTCATTATAAATAATTGTTCTGTATTTCACATATTTACATAAATAGCAATTTCCCCCACCTTTCAGATGTTATATGTTAATATTTCCTTAACCCAGTTTTCATTCTGCCACCATTTCCTGGACTGCCCACCTTCCGTAACATGAGCTCCTTAATTATGGAATTAATGATGAAATAATTAAAAGTAGATTATAACACTTATTCCCACCCTGCCTGGAATGGTGTCAGATAGAGAACAGAGTTATTTGTGCTCTGAAATCACAGCTGCTGGCAGTGAGTGACCTTACTCCTTTTAATGGTAAAAATCATTCCTGGTCATTATATAAACAATAAAATTTGGAATTAATAATCATAAAATATTAATAAATACTATATAAATTATAAAGTGGAAATTGGTAATAATAAATTAATCATAAATAAGTTATAAACTGGAAATGCAACAGTAGAAAACAATTACATGAGAGGAAGAAGGGTGTTATTCTTTACTATGAGCACAGCTAATATTCTTCAGTATTAAATTACTGAAGGTCTTCACTAGGCATTTTTATTCTGTTTTTCTGTGGATTTCTGTTATCTCATTAAAAACTCCTTGCAGGTAATTTTGAATTAAAAAAGCCAGTGTCTGACTGCATGTTCACTTCATGTTCCCGGTGATCATTTGTTCATCAGTTTGTTTTTTTTTTTCATTTTGTCTGTCCTGGTCCCGTTTCAAAAGCATGGCTTTGTTTTCTGCTGCTGTGAAAGTTCTGTTTTAAAAAGGGGAGGTTAAAAAGGGGGGGGTTAAAGGTGTTTTCAAAGCCCTTCCAGCTGCCCTCGAGATGCCTGCAATGAATCCAAACTCTTGGTGAGCAGCCTGAACTCTGTGAAAACAGGTTTAGAATCCTCAGTAGGGCAAGAAAAAAGTTATCAAGACACAAATGCTGCTGCCAAAGCCTTTAAAATATCCTGGCATTAGGGTATATGTGCTGGATGTTTTAATCTTTGGTTGTTTAAGATGTTTTACGTTTCTCCTCAATTTAGTTATAAAATCATTAAGGCTGGAAAAGACCCCCAAGATCATCAAGTCCAACCTTGGGCCAAATATGGGGGATATTTAAAAATGAAATGTTGTCCAGTTAGGGAATATAAAAGTCACTGAAGTGCCAAGATCGATTCTTTAGCTCAGCTCTGGAGATAAATGCATCAAGTTAATCAGATAAAGTCATTGCTCAGCAGCCTCTTGGGCACAGAAGGGCTTTGCAAAGCTCAGCTCAGGTGCACGTTCAGCTCTCTGGGGCTCTGTGGGAGGGTTTGGCAGTGTTCTGTTTGTGTACAAAGTCACATCTCTCCAAGGGCTTTTCTCCTGGTCTGGGTGCTCATTTCCAATCTTTTCCCCACCACCAGATTCAGTACAAAAAGGACTACGAGAAGAAGAAGGACAAGTACACCACCGTGGTGGACACCCCCGAGTACCTGAGGACCAGCAAAGTCAACAAACAGATCAGCGATGTGAGTGTGCTTGGGGAGCATCCTCCTCATCCCAATTCCCAGCCTTTGGGGTGGGATCATCACCACCCCCGGGGAATTCTCACCTCCCCTCCCGACGTGTCCTTGCAGATCATTTACAAGCTGGAGTACAACAAGGCCAAGCCCAAGGGCTACACCACCATCCAGGACACGCCCATGCTGCTCCACGTGCGCAAGGTCAAGGACAGGATCAGTGATGTGAGTCAATCACCCCTGCCTGGGGGGTCAAAATCACGCAGAATTCACTATTTACCTGGAGAGCCAACGTTTTTAACTCAGATGGAACACTCAGAAAAAAAAAATCACTTTTTTCTTAGCACCTATTCTGGTTTTTTTTGCCCGTTAAACTCTATTTTCATTTAATGCTTTATAAAAACCACAGTTTTTCAGGAAGTGTTTTATGCAACATTCTTCTGGAACTCTTGAAACTTTTTTTTTTTGGGTGTAATTATACACTTTACTAATAATTTACATTTTTCTAGCAATAAAAGCCATGAGCTGCAGCTGATCTCTAAATCATGAATTGGGGAGTTTCATGCTGGGTTTTCTTCCCCTAGTGGCTTTTTTTGAGCCCTGAAAAAAGTATTTAATACTTTACCATGTTTATCAATTTCTTCCCTGGGTATTGTGAATCTGAAAGGTGTATATTGTGGTCTAAAATAAATATATGTTTTGATTCTGGGGCAGGGAAAGACTAGAAAGAAGAGGGAAAGGAAGATGGAGTAGATAGAATAATATACAGGATTTAGGAGTCTTGGTCCTAATTCCTCCTTCTACCTGAGGCTTTCTCACTGACCTTTGTGTTGTTCCTTAGATATCCCTAAATAAAATGAGGATTTTAACACTGTTGTAACTCAGTATAGCACTGTCAGAATAATTAGCCTGACTGTCATTCAGGTGCTCTGTGGATTATCTACAGAATTAGTAAATCTAGGAGGGAAAAATAACCATATTACCTAGATCCTAATGGGATCACTGGGAGACAGAGATGTTCCAAAGTGATCTGAGAATTAAAGTACATTTTTTAAGCTCTAAATTGAATGCTGAGGTTCCATCAAGGAGTTTTCAGGAAGCACTGAATGCTCTCAGAAAACAAGTTTATTTAAAGCATTTCTTTTAACCACGTCCAGTCATTTCTTCTGTTGAGATTTTTATCTTGACAGGAGGAATTTCCCCGTTCTATTCCTCCCATTTGGAGGCTCTTCTTGTTGCTGTTGATTGTTACCTTTGTAATATTTGGTTTTTTGGTGTTTGTGCAGCTGAAATACAAAGAAATGTACGAGAGGAGCAAATCTCGCTGCAACGTCGTGGCAGATTCTGTTCACATCAAGACTCCCAGACACGCTTACAAGCTCAACAGCAACGTGAGTTCACTGAAATTCAGCTTTTAATTTCATTATGCAGGGTGTTTTAGGCTGGCAGGAGAGGCCATCAGTTCCATTTTCAGTTCCACCGAGTTTTCTCAGCGTGGGCGCCACTTCTAATTCTTACCCCGCTCGCCTTAAGTGTATTTTAATTTATTTGGTGCTGAAATTCTCCCTCTTGCGAGTTTTCCCTTGAGGAGGTGCTTGTGTGTCACCAATCTGCTGTTCTTTTGGTTGTCCTGTTTCCTGACAGACACACAACTGCCCCAGGAATTCCCAGGGATTCCCTGGGATGCCCTTGCAGACAAAGCGAGCTCTTCGTGGGAAGCTTTCCCGTGTTTGCTGGGTTTGGTGGCCCAACACCCATTTCAGCAGGAAGGACCTGAAAGCTCCCACCTTCCTCAAAGTCAGGGCGTCACTTCAGCCCTTCACATTCCATTTTCCACCTGAGAGTGGGAAAACTGGGATAAATACTCTGCACGAGGCAGAGGAAAGTCCCGGTCTGACTGAGCTGCTCTTTCTTCCCTCTGCTCTCTTTTTTTGGGACAGACCAAAGGGAATTTCCCTCTCTGTGCCACGTGTAAAGTTCACAACTTCCAGATAACTCTCTCTCATTTGTTTTCCCCTGCAAACAGCTGGATTATAAGAAGAAATACGAAGCAGCCAAGGCTCACTGGCACTTGATTGCTGACAGGCCTGACTTCGTGCAGGCAGCCAAGTCATCTCTGCAGCAGAGTGATGTAAGGAAGTCAGAACAAACCAAATACTCCCTTTTCCCACATCTCTCACATCCAGAATATGTGAAACAAATCAGAGAAGATCTGAGACTCTCTTCTCTTATCCCTATTTTTTTTATTCCCTGCAGTATGAATACAAACTGGACCGGGAGTTCCTGAAGGGATGCAAAATCTCTGTCACTGATGATAAAAACACGGTGTTGGCCTTAAATAATGCCATTTTAGCCAGTGATGTAAGTACTGAACTCACTTTTCCTCTCTAAGTAAGTGAAGTCCTTTATTAGAACTTTATTTATAACATTAACAGTTTTATTGGGAATATGGTTGGAATAAGAGTGAAGCTTGGAACAGTTGTTCTCAGTCTCACTCCATTATTTGAACTGACTTGCTTATTTCATTAGCAAATCCACAAAATCTGAACAGATTTGGTCTTGTAAATGCCACACAATAATAAATTAATATCCAAAGTTAACGTTGCCTGAACACCCCAGACCTTCCTCCCAGGTATCTCTGCATTCCTGGTATTGAAATGGAGAAAACAACAAAAAAAGCTGCAGCTGTAAATTGTGCATGACACAAAGTGTCTTTAATAATTACTATCAATATATTAATGTTCACTATGCCCATAAAATTCCTAGTGAGAGCTCTAGGAATATATAGACTAAAATGAATTTATTTGGGAATGTATTAAAATGTGGGATTTTCTGCCAAGGTTTGCACTAGCAAGCAGACCCAACTATAATAATTACTTCTTAATCTGCCACAAGACAAGGTAAACATGGCTTCAAATGAGATCTTTCCCTCCTGGTAGATAAAATACAAAGAGAAGCACAACAAAGCCCGGGGAACGTACCACGCGGTCCCAGACACCCCTCAGATCCTGCTGGCCAAGAATGTCAGCTCCCTGGTCTCTGAGGTAAACCACCAGCAGTTTTTTTGCTCCTTTCAATTTAATTTCATCCCTGAATTGCTGGTGTTTCACCTCTTTTGATGCTGTGCTTTCAGAACAAGTACAAAGAGCACAGCAAGAAGCAGCTGCCCCACGGCTCGTTCACGACGCTGCCCGAGACGCGGGACACGGCCCACGTCAAGGAGGTGACCAAGAACGTCAGTGAGGTGAGCTCAGGCTCCCAGCAGCACCTCCAAACAACCAGCTCTTTCATCTCAACCTTTTGGGAACGAGGAGACTCCACCTGATCCCGTTTCAGGGGGGTTATTTCCAGGTTTTAGTGTCGTTTCCCGCCCCGGGTCGTTCCCGAATCACACACGGCCCTTTCTTGCTCTTGACAGACGAACTACAAGAAGAAGTTTGTGAAGGAGAAAGGCAAATCTAATTATTCTGTCATGCTGGAGCCTCCCGAAGTGAAACATGCCATGGAAGTTGCCAAAAACCAGAGTACAGTGAGTTTGCCTTTTCTTTCCGTTAATTAAGTAGGTTTGATAAGCAAATTCAATCAAAACTCGAGTTTCTGTATTTCTGAATTTCCTCTTAACCTTCATGTTTAGGTGTAATTTTGAAAGATTTTACTTTCCTTTTATCTGAATGATTTTTAACCTTACTCTTACCTGAAAGATTAAAGTACCAATATTTACAAATACAAAATTGCACTGAGATAAAAGATTTGTACTTAATCACAGGGTAGGATTTAAAATAACCTGGTGCAAATCACATCTAATAATTTTTTCATCCTTTCAAATACAGACAGAATTTCCAATATTTATGTCTTCATTTGTAGAAAACTTACAAAAAAATAAATTCCCAAATCCCTTCCTTGTGAAATTATTCCAAAAATAAGCCCATGCACTTTCTCAGCAACCTTGCTGTGTCCTTCCCTGGTGTATTCCTTGTGGGTAATCCTCGGGAATTTCCTTTCCTTTGCCTGTTTTCATGGATTAGATTGAATACAAGAAGGATGCCAAGTCAAAGCTCCACTACACACCGATAGCAGACCGACCTGATATTAAGAAAGCAACTCAGGCTGCCAAGTTAATCAGCAACGTAAGTGGCTTTTCAGTCTTCTCTATAACTCTTAGCCATTAATTTTCCCACTAAACCAGTGTCAGTAGATTAACTGGGAGGGAATCTCTCTGTATTTGCTCTCTTAGATCGAGTACAAGAAGAGGGGAGCAGCTGGTGTGGGGGTGACCATGCTGGGACGTCCTGACATCGAACTGGCCAAGGAGGTGTCCAAACTCACCAGCCAGGTAAGGAGGAGTTAAAAAGTGGGGGGAAACTCTGCAGCAATGAAAGAAATGAGACAAAATATTAATGTCACAATATGAATGTCGCTATTGTAGCTGAAATTATGTCTAGATCAGGGGGAAAGGGAAAAAATGAAGTAAAAATTAAATACCGGCACAAGGTATTTCTTTGTTCTAGTGATTTACTGAATGTCATTAATGGAGGTATTTAAAATCCTCTGAAAATGGTGTTGTGAGAAGATTTTTATTTTTTTTTAAATGCTAAAGCTGAAGTGTTTGCCACGTTCTTTTTTCAGCTCTTCTGCCTTTGCAAGAACCACCCTTTGACCCAACTCTCACTCCCCACCCTTTGAACCAGCACTGGGTTCCTTTCACCACTTTCTCCTCCGTGTCTTCCCAACAATCTCTTGCCAGCCCCTCAGATCTTGGCTCCTTCTCCCCCATTCCTGCTTCCATGCTGGAGTCTTTGCCTCTCTGACGTTGCTTTCTCGCTGCTGATTGCAGGCTGAGTATCTCAAACAGCACCTGAGGGGCCACGGAGCTGCGTCCTACGACACCCCCTGGATGAGAACCTTTAAGAAAGCCAATCTGCTCAGTAGCCATGTAAGATAATTTTATTTAAGTGACACCTGTTGTGCAGGTGTCTCTTGCTTGCCTGTCATCTTGCGAGTTCTGAAGCACCACCACCCTGTGGAAACCTTACTGTGCCCTTCCAAATGGCTTTGGAGCTCCAGGGTTCTTAATGGAAGTTGCTGATGCACACTTGGAATGGGAAAACTCAGCTTTTTCACCCTAAAACTCGAGGTGTTATTTTCTGAAAGTGTGCACAAAAAAAAGGAAATATATGTGTGTGACAAACCTGAATGATGGTGCTGGAGATTTTCAGTGAACAGTCATTAGAACCTCATTTTAACTATTCAAACTCCTACTAAAACTTCATTTAAACTTTATTTAAATTTTAAATTTTAATTTATTTATAAAATGTAACCAGCCTGTTTGCAGTATGCTGGAATTTCCTAGTGGAAAAGTAGTGTGTGACTGAATCAATCCCAGAGCCTGGGAGGGCTTGGAGGGCATTTCTTCTCCTTCTTTCCACCTCAAAACCTTTGCAAAATAAAAATCAAACAATGAGCCTGGATTGCAGATGTTGAAGTGGCAGCAGGGGGTCTGTGCCATTTCAGTGTCACACACGTATTTTCAAGGGAAAAAAAGGAGGGATTTTGATTTTTCCATGTCTGCTGCACGTAACTGTTGCATGTTGGAGTGTCAGGAAAACCAAGGATCTCTTCAGCAGAGCCAGGGAGTCTTAAACTGAACCACTGAACTACAAGAAAAAGAAGAAATTAAGTTCATTCCCGTTCAGTGCTGAGCTCCTCCTTTTCCGTGCTCTTGTCCCAGTGCTGACCAGTCCTCTGGGTCCTTTTCAAACATTCTTAGCTGAGATTTGTTTTGGTTCAGTGAGGGAGCAAAGAATGACTGGAATATCTTTGTTTTCTTTTCTCTTGGGCATCTCTTCTCATAAACTTCTTATTTGTAAAGCTTTATGTCCTGTTTGGTTATCCACTCGTTTTTTTTTTTCAGTTGGATTTTGTCTGTCTGTCGTGCCTTGCTTTCAATTCTGCATTTTTTGAGGTTAAAAAATTGCCATTCCTGTCAACATTTCTCTGCTTCCAGCCTGGATCTGCTGGATTATTATGGCTCTCATTGCCTGGCTGCTGCTGCCGTGGTTTGGAAGTGTTGCTAAACCTTTTGTATAATCTAATTCCTGGTAATTAATTGTGTCCCTGTCCTGTTTGTGACCATTAATGCCATTCATCTCTTACTCAGCCAGAACGCAGTGTTTGTATAATAACATCAAAAAGTATTTGATGTATTGACATCTTCAGTGCTCTTCTGTCTTCTAAAGCTCTTATTTCTCCAAGAAATATGTAAAAAGTTCTTTTAAACACTCTTATATATCCTTATATTATATTATATCCTCTTACATTGTATCTTATTATGTATAAAATATCATATATATTTGAGATATATATATAATTATTTTATTTTGTACTCTTATTACACCTCTCTTTTTACCTCTTGGTGAAATACTTTTAATCAGCACCCATTTCCCATCAAATGAAAAACTCCCCCTGCCCCAGGGAGGGAGTTTGGCTGTATTTTGGCACCACAATTCTCTCACATCTTCAATTTTCCCACTGAGGAGCTGCAGTTTTTCGATTCAGGTGGTGTTTTGTAACTGCAGATGTAGATTTTCTCTCAGTGTCAGGTTTTCTTTGATATTTAACCTTTATTCCAGTGGGTGCCTTCAGGTCATTGCCCTTGTTCCTCTCCCCAGCGGTCCCAATGAAGCAGAGCCTCTTTGCCATCTGCACCGAACGAGCAGGTGCTCCAGAGCAGCTCTAACCCCCTGGTTGTTTCCCTTTGTAGGTGAAATACAAGGAGAACTTTTCCAAAGAGTTGGGCAAGAAGCCCAAATATGATCTGAAGGAGGCCAAAATCTACAAGACCATGAAGGACGCCCACAACATGGCCAGCGAGGTACGGGGGTTGCGCCGTGCCCTGAGGGGGGAAAGGTCGGGTTTCTGTCCCCAAAAACCTGCTGGGTGTCACTAAAACATCCATCAGCCCGGTTTCCTGAGGTGGTTTGTGCCCCCTGGCCCACAGGTGAAGTACAAAGCTGACCTGAAGAAGCTCCACAAGCCGGTGACGGACATGTCGCAGTCGCTGCTGATGAACCACGTGCTGAGCACGAGCCAGCTCGCCAGTGCTGTAAGATCATCCACTCGCCCTCCATTCCCAATTCCACCTGCAATTCTCTCTGCTAACCCCTCCTGTAACAGCTCCTCCCTGTGTTGTGGCCAGGGCCATCACCTGGTAGTGATCTCTTCCTCCTCTTCCTAATTCTGAGTTCCTCGTTAACCAGCGGCTTCACCACTTTGGGAAGGGAAATCTTTGAAATCCCCTGATAATTTTTAGTGGATTGATTCTTTATCCCATTTTAACTGGTTGCACCACACTAACAAATGCCTTTTTTTTTTTCTTTATTGATTAATATATTTAAATTCTTTAATTTTTTCTGGTTTTTTTTTTTATCTTTTCATGTTTGTTTAACATCCCTATTATAAACCTCCATAATTATGCCTAACAAAACAATTGAGAATTTTACTGAGAAAAGGCAAAAAACCATTGTATCTTGGTACAGCCTTTTCTTGTATCTGCTGTGTTTTCTCTTTCCTTTTTCTTTTTTTTTTTTTTTTTAATGGTTTTGACAAAAACAAAACAAAACAAAAAAAAATAACCCACGCCTTTAACTCCCAATTTCCAAAAATCACTTCTAAACTTCTTGCTTTTTTGTTTTGCTTCTTGTATTTCTAATAATTCCTCTTCGATGTTCCATTTGAAGTGCTGCTTTGATTGGGCCTGAGAAGTAAATTTCCTGAGGGCTTTTTTTTTTATTATTGAGATGATTTTTGACACCTTCCCTTCAGTACCAGTACAAGAAGCAATATGAGAAGAGTAAGGGTCACTACCATGTGGTGCCAGATAACCTTGAGCAGGTTCATCTCAGGGAGGCATCAGAACTCCAGAGCCACGTAAGTTGCTCGTGTGTTTGTCGTCATCCCCAAAAAATATCCATCCCTGAAATCCTCCCAGGGAATTCTGCTGTCTCTGACAGTCCCTCTCTGCTTCACCAGCACTGCCCAGTGAGAAATATCTGCACATTTGCAAGTTAATAAATAAAATATACGGATAAAAAAGATACCTTCATTCCACAGTCAATCTCAGTTCCTCACCCTGCTGTACGTGGATTTTTTACACATTTATCAGGGGGATTTTCCTGTAGAAAAACGACCTGGAAATCACAGGAAAACTGGAAAGTGAAGGAATCAGGGTTGATGTTCTCAGTGTAGGTTCAACTGCTTTAATTATTCCAGTGAAAGGAGAACTCTGCCATTCTTTTCCTGCATCCAAAGTTGTTTTAACCCAACTGTTAAATCTGTCTGTTGTTTTTCCCCTCTGGAATAAAATGGTGAATCATTCCAGAGAAATTCATGCTCTGATTTGGTCTCTAATCCTCTCTATCCCAAGTTTTTATTGGCTGTAGAGCAGGAGGAAAATTGCTGGTGGGACACAAAGGTTATGGCATGGAATGGAATTCCAGGATTTTTTGGGTTGGAAGGGACTTTAAATCCCATCCAGTCCCACCCCCTTCCCCTATCCCAGCTTGCTCCAGCCTGGCCTTGGACACTTCCAGGGATTTTCAAGGCGTGGAAGAGCCAAAAGGCCACAGAGCAAAGGACTGTGAGAAAATGGTTGTAATCAGGTTCAAGTTAAATTTGAAGTCACTCATTGAACTGTCAACAGTTGGTGCCCTAAAGGCTGGGTAATGTAATTTATAGGAAGAATATCTTCATCTTGGTGGACATTTTCCTTCCTGGGCACCAAAGTTGACGTTTGATGGTCAGTAATGGAATTTTCAGGAAGGTAAATAGTATTAAACATTGATTTTTTTTAACCACAGAACTGTTGTCAGTGAGCAGATATCAGTCAATGAATTGGGTTATTTAGGAGGGTGACTTTTTTGTCTTTTCTCCTCAGGTGAAATACAGGGAAAAGTATGAGAAGGAAAAGGGAAAACCCATGTTGGACTTTGAGACTCCCACATACCTCACAGCAAAGGAGTCCCAGCTGATGCAGAGCGAGGTACAATCAAAATCAATACTGATGGTCAAAAAACCACCCTAAAATTTATATTTTATAGCTAAACTTAATTAGATATTTAATAGGCAGTTATATCTGCGTCCTGTGCATGCTGAGAGGCTGGAAAATGATAGTTATATCATATTTCTTTACCCTGGTTATGAAATGCCACCCTGAAAATTCCTGAACCTTTCCCGTGCCACAGGAAAGTGGTTTTTATCTGTTGGTTTTTCAGCAAGAAGCTGTCAGTAAATGAAGCTTAAAGTAGTCTTTGAGTGAGAAATGTAGCGTGAAATGTGTCTCCCTTAAACTTTTTCACCTGAAAACTCCATTTCTGAGGAAGCCCTTTATTCCCTGTGTGTCCCAGACCTGTCACTTGATTTCCCTCAGCAGTTTTGTTGGTTTATTTGAGGTATAATCTTGTTCTGGCACAGATGGGGGCTTGGACATGCTGAAAAACACCTTTATAGGGCCATGTAAGTTATTGTGTTGGGAGTGATTCCTTTAAAACAGTTTCTCTGCACAGACAAATAATTAGAAAAATTAAAAAAAAAATAAAGGCAGGACCTGGTCATATTTCCATTGAAAAGCAATGAGCTCTTTCTTAACCATCAGTGAAAATAGGATTTATTGCTTTAGGTGCCCTCAAATAGTGCCTTTAATACCAATCCCTTTTCCATCCTCCCAGTGGTTTTTCACATCATTAAAAATTGGGATAAACATTTGCTATTTTGCTTTTTTTTTTCCCTTTCTTTCTCTCATCAGAAAGAATACAAGAAGGACTTTGAGGAGTCCATGAAGGGCAGGAACCTGGCTGGCCTGGAGGTCACACCATCCCTCCTACACGTCAAATATGCCACCAAAATAGCCAGTGAGGTACCAGCAACTCTGTGCTCCTTCCCTCTGCCCTCCCCAGCAATCCCACTGAGATTCCCAGCACCCTTTCTTCTCCTATTCCTGTTTCCTGCTGCTCTGACTGTCCTCATCCTACTGGTCCATGTCTGTGTGCCTTGGAAATTCATCTCCAGCAATAATCCCTGTATTCTGTTGTATCAGTTCCTCTATAACCCTCGACAATATTCTTTCCTGTTTTCCAGAGCCCCTTTTTTTTTTTTTTTCTCTTTTGGAGCTTTCGTGATTCTTTTTATTTTAATTCTTTTAATTGTTATTATTATTATTATTATTATTTATTTTTTTAATCATTATTTATTTATTTGTTATTAAATGGTAAGGCCCAGAGCTCCCTTTAGCCTGGATTTGCAGGTTTGTTTTTTTTTTCCTTCCCCATCTCCTACAGAAAGAGTACAGGAAGGATCTGGAGGAAGGTGTCAAGGGGAAAGGACTGACAGCCCTGGAGGAGACTCCAGACATGCTGAGAGCCAAGAATGCAACTCAAATCCTCAATGAGGTATGTCAGGGCTCTTTGGAAAATTCCTGAGTGGATGGAACGTCCTCCAGGTGTCATGGAAAGGAAGAAGTTCCTCCAGATCAGCTCCAAGCCCCGTCCAACCTGGCCTTGGACATTCCCAGGGATCCAGGGGCAGCCACAGCTTCTCTGCCCAACCTGTGCCAGGGCCTGCCCACCCTCCCAGCCAGCAATTCCTTCCCAATATCCCATCCAAACCTCCCTTCCCACTGAGGGAGGAGTGAACTTTGTCATTCCCTGGAAACTCCCGAGCAGGGAGGGAAAATGAACATGAGTGGGTGACGAAGGATCAAAAAGGGAGCTCTTTTGTGCCTTTGCAGTCACTGCCAGGAATCCAGGGGGGAAAGAGGTGCTTGGGATCAGTGGTCACATCAGTCCAGGGACTCATTTAGGTCATTGCCTGAATCAGTCAGGGGACCAAAGCCAGGTCTGAGCCACAAAGTGCCCCCTTGAGTGGGTGCATTTGGCTGTGAGTGGATCTTGGCAGTGTTCCTGCTCTGAGGTGTGCTCCTGAAACTGAACTCGCTGCAGGTGTTTCCTTCCCGTTGCCATGAGCTGTTCCCTGTCTTCCTCTGCAGAAAGAGTACAAAAAGGCCTTGGAGTTGGAGATCCGAGGAAAGGGCCTGACAGAGCTGGCTCTGGAGACCCCGGACTTTGTGCGGGCCAAGAACGCCACGGACATCGCCAGCCAGGTGGGTGGGGGGCACCCTGAGCCACCCCCCGGGGCTCTTCTGAAAGGCAACCTTAGTTCTTTGGGCTCAAACCCGGTGCAAGTTGTTGTGCAGAGATGATTGAGGCGCCTAAACCTGAGCTTTGCCCGACAGATCAAATACAAACAATTGGCAGAAATGGAGAAAGCCAACTACACCAGTGTCGTTGACACTCCCGAGATTATTCATGCCCAGCAGGTCAAGAGCCTTTCCAGCCAGGTATCTCGAGTGAAGCCACTTAATCACTGTTCACTGGCCACCAAGTACTAATTTGGGCACCTAAATAACCCCCTCTGACACCTTTCAGGACACGCCAGGAAGCAAATCTCTCTAGAGCTGTGATGTGGCGTCTTACTCTGAAATTCCGCGTCAATAATCAAATTAATTGGTTTTCATGCTGTATGATACTCTGCAATACCAAAGCTAATTCTTTCCTGCGTTGATTCAGCTTAATTTCCCCCTCCTTAATAAGCTAATCTTTGAATTAATTACACAGGGGTCATAATCTCAGTTTCTGGCAGGCAGAGGAGCACTCACATCTTCGTAACCATGGGCATTATGCAGCAGTAGCTAATGCCAGCTCATCACTGCTTTTGTTGGTTTCTGTTTTAATGTATTTGGGGCTTTCCATCAGAAAAAATACAAGGAAGAGGCAGAGAAGAGCATGTCACACTACGTGCCTGTGGCTGACACCCCAGAAATGCAGCGAGTCCGGGAGAACCAAAAGAACTTCAGCACGGTGAGTATGGAAATACAATCATTGAAATATTATTCTCAGCTCCAAAGAGAACTCTGCAAGTAAAGGTTTATGGCACAGAGTCAGACATCTGACATTTTACCTGAACTTTCCCAACAGCTCCAGTACCAGTCAGACCTTCAGAACAGCAAAGGCAAAGTCACAGTTGTCCAGGACACCCCCGAGATCCTGCGGGTGAAAGAGAACCAGAAGAACTTCAGCTCGGTAGGGCCACTTTGTGTCCTCAGTTTTCCCCAAAAATCCACTTTAATGCTGGATAAAATAACTATTTTTGGCTCACCTCTTCCAGGTTCAGTAGACTTACCTGGGTTTTGTGGAGTGTTTTGACCTCCTGTTTTTTGTGTAGCGCACTGATTGCACTTTTTCCCACCCATAGCTGTGATACAGTTGGACAGTCACTCCTGTAATTAATTAGTATTCATTAGTAATTAATTAGTGTTCCTTTGCCTTTGTCCTGTTACCCTGTAATGCATTTTTGTCCTGTGGCCCCTCGTGCAGTGTCTGCCTGATTTGTTGCCCAGTCCATGTTGCTGTGAAGTTCCCCAAGTCTGCACCATTATTGGAGCACACAACAAAGGGGGAAACATCTGTGGATAGCAAATTAGAGCAAATTACAATATTCCATCCTAAAAGTAGCCCACATGTGTTTGGATCATGGAATTAGGGAATGGTTTGAGTTGGAAGGGACCTTCCAGCCCATCTCGCCCCACCCCCTGAAGGGCACCTTCCATGAGCCCAGGTTTCTCAGGTGTCCCACTGAAATATATTTGATTTATTATATCATTGATATTCTATTTAAAGTGCATCAAATATAAATGAGCAGCCCCTTTTTTTTTTTTTCCCCCAAATGGTGCACAGACTTCAGGCAGTGCCTGGAGCTGATCCTTTGTGTCCCAGCTCCCCCGCTAGGAGCAAGAATGTTGTGTTTTGGATGCTTAACCTTGTTGTCTTCATTCTAAACGTTAAGATTTTGTATAAAGAAGACATTGGAACTGGAACCACTATTGAAAAGACACCAGAGATGCAGAGAGTTAAACAAACCCAGGATAATATCAGCTCGGTACAAAAGCATTGATTTTTAATCCTCTACCACTGCTAATTCCTCTTGAAATAATATTTCTTTTTCTATTTTTTCTTTTTCTTCTCGTGTTGCTAACAGTGGTTTGGCAATAACCCCACCCAGTTAGGGGTGACTTTATTCAAGTTTTTGCCTCTCCTTTTTACTTTAACAGTCACCTTTCTAATGATTAACACTCAGATTCTTACTTACAACCCGTTTCTAAACCACGAGAGCTCTTGCCAGCATTTTAACCTCATCCCAAATGTTGTTTGGACAGAATCAAAGAATCATTTTGGTTGGAAGGGACCTGTTCAGAGCATCTTTTGCTCCAGCAGGATCTGGAGGTTGCTTGGACGAGCTGGGTTTTGAGTATCCCACGGGATGAAGATTCCCCAACCTCTCCAAGCAACTTCTGTTCCACTGTCTGACCATCTCACAGTTCAAAGGTGTTTTGCTGTGGTCAGACTGAATTTTCTGGTGGTGTTTTTTTATTTTTTGTTTCGTTTTGTTTGTTTGTTTTTGTTTTGAGGGTTTTATTTGTTTAGGATTTTTTTTTTAATGGGTTTTTGTGTTTTTTTTTCTGTTTGGTTGGTTTTGTTTTCTTTTTTTTTTTGTTGTTGTTGTCCTGTCACTGAGAGCTCCTAAAAAAAGCCTCGGTACAGCTTCCCTTGTCGAGCTTTTACCTGATACCAAGAGCTGCAACGCTCTAAAATCGGAGCAATTCCACATATCCCTTCCCTCTCCAAGCTCATAAATCTCTTCCCTGCTTTTTTTTTTCGGAATGCTGGTGTCGTTTTGGTCTAAACCCCTAACATTTCAGTGGGTTTGTTGGTGCAGATGGTGCTCAGTGTGTTGTGAGGTGCGTTTTCCCTCGCTGTGCCCAGGAGATGCAGAGAGTGCTGAGGTGGGGGGTGACGACTCCCACCTCGGCTGAACACCAGGGATTCCTGCACAGCCCAAATTCTCCCTTCACTGGCAGAAAGGCCAGGTGGAATCAGGTCCCAGCTGGTTTCACAAACCCCTTTCAGCGTCATTCCCAGCGACTGAAGTTGCCTTGTACCGGGTTTCTCGGGAAGGTGACGGGAATCCTTTCCCAGCTGCAGCCCACGAGCTCCTCTCAATCCACGAGCTCAGGATAACTCTCTTTGTGCATCCACAACCATCCCATTCCGCGCTCCAGTGCCAACCCTCGTTGCTGTGTGTGCCTTGCAGATCAAGTACAAGGAGAGCATCGGGAAGGGCACCCCCATCCCCGACCTGCCGGAGGTGAAGCGCGTCAAGGAGACCCAGAAGCACATCAGTTCGGTAAGGTCCCCTTTGTGTCCCCTGCCACCCCCAATTTGTGTCCCCTCCCACCCCCCACAGCTCCTGCTCCAGCCTCTGGGCCTGCCTCCTGCTTTTATGGTTGGGAAGAGCCTCCCAAATGAGCATCAGGGGGTTTAAATCCCTGAATTCCATCATGATCAGTCACTGCCTGTGATTAATTCATTCTGTGGCCTTTCCTAAACACTGAAGGAGGGACAAAAATGACCCAGGTTGTGTTGTAATTAGGCTGGAAAAAAATGGATCAGCTAGGGAGGACTTGGTGGAAAAAAACCCAAGTGGAGCCTCTTTATGGTCACAAAATAAGGGAAAACAAAACCTGGCTGTTCCCTTTTCCAAGTGTAGATTTTAGCAACCACTCAACGTGTTTCCCAGCTCATTTTTGCACAGCTGAGCTGTTTCCTTAATTTTTTTTCCCCACCTTTCACATGGTTTTATTTTCCCTTGCTGGGATTGCTTTATTTTTGTGGGGGTTTTTTTGTCGTCGTTTCAGTGAAATCAAGCAGTGAAAGTTGCTGCTGGTTTGTTTGTTTTTGTTGTTTTGTTTTTTTTTTTTTTTCACTTACCTCGTTTTGGTGCAAGCATTTTACTACTTGCAAGAAGAGCCCTGAACGCAATTTTGTCATTTGTCAGTCCCTTTGTCACGTATTTCTACGTTGTGTCCCACAGGTGTTGTACAAGGAGGAGCTGGGCACGGGCACCCCCACGCCCGTGACCCCCGAGATAGAGCGAGTCAAACGCACGCAGGAGCACATTAGCTCGGTACTGCCCGGGATTGCAACAACAAATCCCAACCCTGCTGTTGCAATCCCGCCCTGGAACCCCTAACACTCCTCCTCCCTCAGGGCTGCAGTCCTGGCTTTGCCCTGGCAGTGTCTTAACTCTGATATTCCCCCTGTTTGTGCTTTTTGGGGGGATTCACACCTTCCTCTGCGTTTCCTCTGAGAGCCCAAAGTGAATTTACCTCCCCGTGTTCATCTCGAGCCTTTATCTTCTCTCCCCTCCCATCCCCTATTTACAGAATGATCCCCCATCAGCCTCTTCATTAATCTTGGCCTGTGGATCCGGTGTGAAGTGAATCAGCAGTGACCTAACGCTGAGCATGAGCCAGGGCAGGGGCAGAGGAGGTGGCTGTGCCCCTGCTGAGGGGGTTGCTGTGGGCACTGTCTGTCCCTGGCAGGTGTTGTACAAGGGCAGGGGCAGAGGAGGTGGCTGTGCCCCTGCTCAGGGGGTTGCTGTGGGCACTGTCTGTCCCTCACAGGTGTTGTACAAGGAGGGGTTGGGGACGGGCACGGCCACCCCGGTGACGCCGGAGATGGAGCGAGTGCGGCGTAACCAGGAGAACATCAGCTCGGTACTGAGCCACACCCTCCCCTTCCAGTGCCACTGACACCCCTTCAGCTCCTCCCTGACACCATCCTTCCCATTCCTGATGGAACTCTGAGCAGCCCTTCCCTTGTGAAGCCACTGCAACCCTGTCAGGATCCGATATTTTCCTTTTCCCCTCATTGAACCTGTTACTGAGTTCTCCCAGCAGGGAGATTTTAACCCCAGTAAATTGAAGCAGTTGAGCGGTGCCTTGTTTGAATTCCCAAGGGATTGTTAATAGTGGGAGTGGTGTCACTGAGCCCACCCTTCCAGCATCTCCAGCCTCACCTCTGCAGTGGAAAACAAACCCTTAACCCTTCCTGGGTCAGGGAATCGTGGAATGGTTTGGGTTGGAATTTCTGCTGTGTTGGCTGCTCTCTTACACCCTCCAGTCTTTGTAAGGAATCCAGGTGGCATTCCCAGCTCACTGCTTAGGAAAACATGGTGATAATTGCACATAGATGGAAAAATTGCTGTAGGGAGGAATATTTATGTGGATCACTTCTCCTCCTGACCCTTCCCAGCCATCGTTTTGCTCAGTATTCCTGTTTAATTGGAGCACTTTATGCTCATTTTGCTGTTTGAGATGGGGAATCCTTTGCAGGAGGGTTGCCAGGCAGTTGAGAATTCCCACATTTCTGTGCCCAGGGGAAAGAAAAAGCTCAGTGGAACCTCAGCCCCCTGTTTTCACTGAGGGTTTTTCGCTGGGCTTTGAACAAGGCTGGAAAAACACCATTTTTCACACTTTGACGTTTCCCTGTATTAAATTATTGCTCTTCCCTCTCTCTTCACTCTTTTCCTTTTTTTAACTTCTCTTTTTCCTTTCTCCTTTTTTTTTCCCTCTTTCTCCTTTTTTTTTCTTTTTTTCCCT